AAGGAGCTGGGGTTATTCCATTGGGAGAAATTCCCACTGTTGGGAAGAGTTACTGCACTTAGGAATTGAATCTGGGAGGATGCCACCTCTGAGCAGTCGGGGCCACGCTCTGTCCCTGCTGCTTCTGCTCCACACTGACTCCTGCAGTCTCCTCTGCTATGGACAGAGATACCCCAGCAGGTCTGAACCTCAGAGCTCAAGACTGCAGTGATTTGGTTCAGTTTTAATTGCAATGACATCAACCCCTGTGGCCAGCATGGTGTCAGCAGTGCCATTCCAATCTGCACAGGTTCCTGGGAAAACAGGAGATGAAAGCCCCCAGGATGTCAGGGCATGCAGAAATGTCCCTCAGGGCTTTGGCAACTGTTCTGCAGTACTTCTGCTTTATTAGTTCACGTCCTCGAGGCTTGTTTCTCCTACACAGGATATGATTAACCCTGTGTGCATCGTCATGCCACATCCTGAAGCCGTGCCACATCTCAAGGCTGTGCTGCATCCCAAAGCTGTGCTGCATCCAAAGGCTGTCCCGTGCAGGGTGAGGATGCTGCTGGTGCAGATCAGCACCCCACTAACAACCAGAAAATGGTCTGGAGAAATGGGAGCCGTCTGGGAAGGCCTGGGAACCTCTGGCACAGTGAGGCAAGCATTGAAGGACACAGGGGCATGTGGGAGGATGTGCTGCTGACAGTAAGCAGAGGCTCAAGGCCAGCCATGGGGAGCTTCTCATTCCATTTTCCTTGAAAAAGGGTGGTGAAAGGGCACTGCAGCTTTTCTCAGCCCTCACTCACGTAAGCAGCGTGCGCTCACCATTCCGACAGCTTCCTGTTGTGAGTAACATGGAAAAGGTCAGAAAGCAGGGACTGTCTCACTGCAGATCATTACTCATAAAGGAAATAAAAGCCAGGTTGGCTCATGGGATACATGTGGGTCTTGCATAGCAGTAGGGCTGGATGGTGTGAAAGGAGCACAGATTCCTTGCAGGCGTGGTGTGATGCCCCCTTGGGCCCCAGAGAGAAACCCCAACTGAGGAGCTGCATTTTGGCATCTCCAAGATGCTGCTGGCACACCTGGCACACCTGCTGGAACCAAGCACTTCTGCATGCTGTGCCTCCTGCCCTCTCCATGCTGCACCCGATCACAAGAGCATGGGATGGCAATGGGCAGTGCATGGCAGCCCTGCCCAGGGGATGCAGTACAGATTTGTGGGGTCAGATTCCAGGCTCACAATTTGCAAAAACTGCTGCTGAATGAAGTAAGCAGCTGCAGAATGAGCAGCGTGCAGCATGCACAGCACTGCTAGACAAAACACGTGTGTGCACTGCTTTGCACTGCAAGCCTGTCCCAAAACATTCAACAGGATGACATGGAGCCTCCTGCCCTTGATCCCACAGGGCTCTACCTGGATGACCGCGTTGAGGTTAAAGGTGCATAGGCCAAAACCCATGCAGAGCATCATGGAGACATACTTATCCCGAATGAAAGAGATTTCAATGGGCTGAACCAAAAACAAGCTCTGTTTAGTCTTCAGCATCGCCATTGGGGACGCACAACAGTGTTCCTGGAAGCAGAGTTTACTTTAATGACCAAAAGAGGGCATTTTTGCTACCTCCTTCCCTCCTCCCCCCAACAAACCTGGTGCACATCCATCTGGAATATATTTCTTAAACTAACATAGGGTCCTCCTCGTTTTGCTCTGCTAGCAGCCTCGCTTCCTCTGAAGCATAAGAAGCAGCATTGACAGGAAAGAAATGGGCACATTTCCCCCCGCAGTAAGATTTGCAAATGCTCAGAATATTTGTTTGTGCATGTGGCCACTTGCAGAGCCAGAATTCATCATCTTGGAGAAGTGGGGCTCGGTTCCCAAACTCGCTGACCTGTAAATCAGGGGATGGGTTTGCACTGCTCAGCCCACAGTTTGCTGCCTGTAGCTCTGAGAAAATGTGTAAGTAACTGCTGTGATCACTTTATTCAAAGTGCACTCTTGGCAAAATTGCTTACATGAATGGTGTGTTAATATCTGACACACTGTCCTGCATTTTTCCTATCATTTTTTCCCCAGTGATCAGCTCATCCCCTCTACTGCCATGAGCAGGGGATAAAATCCACAGTGTTCTCCCTCCTGCTGCATGGGAGAAGTCCCTCCGCTGCTGTTGAGCTGCAGTGGAGCTGGGGAAAATGCCACATGAGGGTTCACCAGGGGCTCCTGGCACCAACTGGAGCCACATCCTCATTGTGCAGCACAGGGACTGTCCCTGTTTGTAAGGGCTTTTTGAGGAGCTTTTTGCTTGTTAAGCTCAGGGCTTGCTCACTTCTCGCATCCATCAAGTGCTGTGTAAAGTCAGAGTGAGGATGGTAGCCTTCTGGATTTCCCAGCCTTTGGCACTGGAATGTGACCCTATTTCAGGCAAGAAGGATTTGGTGTTAAAGCACATGACTGACAGCTCACTGGGGTATTGCAGCATCAGAAAAGGAAATGTTATCAGACACAGCCGGAGGAATGGAAGACCTCTGAAGTCTTGCAAGAAAGATAGAAGTGCCACTGAGGATCAGCAAAACGAATTCATCTCCTGTGGCTGATGCATACTGGAGCTCCCTGGCGCACGTCCAGGGGTCAGCAGCAGCCCTGCGGTCACCACATGGGTTGGGTGCATGCTGATGTCACTCCATGCCCACTGCTCACTGCTCCCAGCAGTTTGACACAAAGAAAAGCTGAGACACAACAATTCCCCCCCTCACAAACCCTCTGCGCAAACCCTGCCCTGACCAACGTGTTCTGAGGGAACCGAGGGGCTGGGATGTGCCTGCCCTGCAGCTCCGTGCAGCTCAGAGCTGCTCCAACGGGAGCACACTGCAACACGCTGCAAGGCCAGGATTTACCAGGAACTGAGATTTGTGCTGTTTTCTTGGAAACAGAAAGATGGCTTTATTTTTGCAAACAGAAATCTCGCTTGTGGTCAGCTGCTGGCAGCAGGTGGCTGTTTGGATCCTCTCTGAAAAGGAACACAAGTGAAAACTCATTTCAGGTCGCTCTGAAAACAGAGCGGCGTCCGTATGATCTCCAGCAGCAGTTCATCCCCAAATGTTCCTCCAGGAGAAGGGGAGAGGCTTTGCTCTGGGAGGCACCACGTCCTGTGCATCTGCTAGAGCCACATTTCTCATCCCCCACTAAGGAGTTTGCCTGCTGTCTGCTGTGTTGGCTGCAGAAGCTCTCCACCTCCATCGGTGCACAATGCAGATCTTTCTCTTGTATCTGATGGCTTTGCTCCATTTTAAGAAGCTGTGGGTGGTAGGGGAAGCATTTCCACCCCCAGGGGGAAGCAGTGATTTTGGAGGGTCTGGTGCCCATTGCAGGCTCTTCTCGCATTGCAAGAGGGATGTGCCTGTTCACCCCACCAGAAGCAGGGCTGCACCCCCTGCTTTTTCAGAAGCGACAACAACATCAGCTTTGCATTCTTGTCTGTGTGCTGAAACTGAAAGGGGAATGAGATGTCGGTGCCTCCTTCCTTCCAGCTCAGCCCTGGTGTGTGCTCACACCTGCAGGCTGTGCTTGCTGCTCTTGCTCTTGCTTGGCTTCAGCTGAGAGCTGCCTTTTTGTTTTGTTTTTAATATATGTTTTGTTTATTCCCCTCTTTTCCTTTGCTGGGAGCTGAGCTCTGTGCCACCTGGAGAGCACTGTGTGCTCTGCACAGTGCAGCATTGCTCTGCGTGCTGAGATCTGGGTTTGTAGGAACCCGAAGAGTGGGAGGAACACCTGAGCACCCAATGATTTGTCTCACAGCGATCATACTGTGAATCTGATCACACCCCAGTGAGTGAAGCACCTTCACCACGCTGCCTAAATGCACACGCATGGCTCTGAGCACTCTGAGCTGGCTGACTTGAGAGCTCTACAGCAGACGTCCCCACCAATGCAGATGCTGGCAGCAGGTTTTACCATTGCTCACTCAGCCTAAATCTCTGCTTTGGCCTTTTTACAGAAGGTCTCTATGTTTACTTTCCCATTGTGCATCTCAGCCAGAGAAAAGTGCTACTTTCTCACACCAGCCAGGCTCCACGTCTCTGCACAGCGGTGCTGATGCGACCAATTCACGGGAATCCAAACCCAGTGCCTTCCCTTTGAGCTTCCTCCACCTCTAAGTTCCTAAAGGAGTTGTTCAGAACGACAGTCTTATGTCACCTAAGGAAAACGAAACAAAACCGAGCACAGGACAAAGCCCATTCCCAGCCGCGATGGTTGGAGCCTGAGGACGCCGCCAGCTCACACCCTGCAGCTCGGAGCAGCACAGGCTGTGCCACCGGCAGCTGGAAGCACGGGGCGAGCAGCCGGGCGCTCAGCGAGCAGCCTGAAGTGCCGGCACGGCGCCGTGCGATGCCGCCCTTCTGTTTCTGCCCTTACAAACAGCAGCGGCACAACGCCGCGCGGACCCGCTGAGCAGCCTGCGCTTAGGGATTATCGCAGCGTGCCAAAGCAGCGCCTCGCGTGAGCCATGAGGCTGCGATGCTCAGCCGCCACCTCCCTGCCCGCGGTGACCGCGCTGCGTGCGGCACGGCCGCCTCCGTGCGAGGGCAGCGAGCGGCGAGCAGCGAGCAGCGAGCAGCGAGCTGCTCCCCTCGTCCAGGCTGCAGGAAAAGGAATCTCGCGGCCGGGACGGCACCGTCAGCACCGAGCCGGGGCTGCCCCCAGCGGTGTGAGCGGGGCTCGGCTGCCAGGCATCGCCCTAAAGAGCGGCGGTTCAAACGCTCGCTAGGGGACGGCATCGCACCGCGAACGGAGCGAGCGCAGCTCCGCTGCCTCATCCTACAGCGCTTATTGGGGGAACGAACCCGAAAAACCCAAAGAACGCATTTGCAGAGGCTTTGAAATAAGGCACGGCGAGCACAAGTTGAGCTTGCAACATTTCCATTTAATTTTGTCTTTTTTTCTTTTTTTTAAACAGCCTTTCCCCTCACACAAAACAAAACTGCTCTTTCTCTTGCTGTACACATTGCCTCATAAAAAAAATAATTCTAGAACAAAAATGCTTTGCAACATATACATATATATCTACTTCTACCATACAGTGCACAGTATTTTAAAATTTGGGAAAGTAGATGTTATTTTCTACATATTCCAAAGCTTGCTTCCAAATCACATTTTCACAGCGATTTCTGCCTAGGTATAACATCATTCCTTTCCTTAAGATGACACCAAATAACCTCTTAAATACCACCCCATTGCAGTCCATTAGCAACTGCTCTTTCTCAACTACAAAATTCCTGTAGGATTAAGGCCATTTCTGTCTGATGCTGTGTCCTAATTTTGGACTCCACCAAAACAACGCAGCACTGATTCATTTACAGTGGGTTTAACTGGGGAACCACAGGAATGGCTCCTTAGGCCCAGGATCTGGAGGTTTCTCTTTCCAGTCTGTGTTTCCATCATCCTGAGCTCAGAATGACATCGGTCACATCTCCCTGTCAGCTCTCTGGCTCTCGATGGCCAGGTCAATCCAGGTCCCTGCAGAGCCTTGGGTTGCAGCTTTTCTGCAAGGTGTTCACCAGAGCACTTCTGAACAGGACCAGGCGTGCATCACAGTTGGCTGTTTTTTAAAACTGTGAATACCACTGTATTTGTTCTTCAAACTTAATCAGTGCTTCAGAAAGGCCTGATCATGCCCTGGGCTCTGGGCACCCAGAGCTCTGCTTTTAGGCAAAAGTCATGAAGAACTGGAATGATAACCCAGATTCCACAGCCATCATTACAAGACCAGTAATACATTTCAAATGCGTGCTGGGCTACCATAACTTCGAAGGTGCTTCCACAAAGAACATTTCTTTAGGAATTCATAGAATCAGAGGATCACAGAGTGGCCTGGGTTGCAAAGGAGCACAGCGCTCATCCTGTTCCAACCCCCTGCTGTGTGCAGGTCACCAACCAGCAGCCCAGGCTGCCCAGAGCCACATCCAGCCTGGCCTTGAATGCCTGCAGGGATGGGGCATCTGCAACCTCCTTGGATAAAGAAGGAAGCAGATCCAATCCTTACCCCTCTCAGCAGTAGCAAGGCACCACTGTGCCTCTGGAGATGCATCCAGGCTGCAATCACAGGCAGTTCCCCCGAAGCTGCTGCTGCTCGGCCGCTGCAGACGCGCTGCCCCAGCACTCAGGGCTGTTTCTTGCAGGGTGGATGAAGGGGATGAGGCCCGACCCGGGATTTCCAGATACAGGCACTGATCCTGCGAGCCCCACACGCACACTGCATTTTGAAACTGAAGTCCAAAGCAAAAGCATCTGGGAGCGGGGCAGGAATCGTCTTGACCTCTGCCGCGTAAATAAAACTTTGTGTCTATTTTGGAATTCAGTGAAGGCTCCCATCTATTGGAAGAGATTAGAGATCTCCATTCCCATCTGAGATCCCACAGGAAGGTCGCACCGCGTTACGATGCGACCGCAGGGCCGTTCCCGTTCTCCTTACTGCTTTCCCCCAAAGGTTCATCGTCTCTCTCTTTTAGGGAGAACTTTTTCCTGAAGGCTTGCGTGACGCTGGAGGAGGAAGCCTTCCTGAAGGTGGTCAACCTCTTCCGAAAGTTGCCCCCCGAGAAGAAGTAGAGCAATGGGTCGAAGCAGCAGTTGGCGGCGGCCAAAGGCAGAGTCACCACCACCGACTTCTGCAGGTAGGCCGTGTCCTCGCAGCTGGAGCGCCGCAGCCGCAGCACGTGCAGGTGAACGGTGCGCAGCACGTGGTAAGGGGTGAAGCTCACCAGGAAGGTGGCCGTCACGATGACGATCATCCAGATGGCCTTCTTGCGGTTGGCCTGGTTCTTCTTCAGGGAGTTCTTCAGGAGGGTCCTTATGATCATGGTGTAGCAGATGGTTATGATGATAAAGGGGATAATGAAACCCAAAAAGAGAGCGATGAAATCCAGGATCACGATTATGTTGGTCTTCTGGGTGTCTTCTGGGGGTTCGAAGCACTTGGTCTTGTTGCCGTGTTGGTAAGTCCCATTCATCAGAAAAGGAGCGCTCGTCAGGGTAACAAAAATCCAGATCCCAACGCACACAAATTTAGCCTTCCTCTCCGTGACCAAATTGATGTTCTGAACCGGAAAAACGATGGCTATGCAGCGGAAGAAGCTCATGGCAGTCATGAAGAAAATGCTGCAGTAGAGGTTGACGTACAAAGCGTAGGAGCTGAGCCTGCACAGGATGTCGCTGAAGACCCAGTGCCCTTGGTGGACGTAGTAGACCACGCGCAGGGGGAGGGTGCACACGCAGAGGAAGTCAGACATGGCCAGGTTTAGCATGTACACCTGGAAGGCCGTCCGCTGCCGGAACGTCCTGATGAGCACAAAGAGCACAACGCCGTTGCCAGCAAAGCCCATGATGCTGATCATGGAGTACAGCGTGGAGTAGACGCGGTTTCGGAAGTCATCGATGGCGTGTTGGCACAGTGAGCTGTTGAGGAGCGTGGTCATCTCTTGTTGGAGGCACCGGGTGGCTGGAGAGGGATCTCAGGTCTAAGGGTGGAAAACTCGGTTATACAGCTGTTACAGTAGGGCTGTCGTCTTTCAGCTGTTGTGTTACAGTTGGGGAAAGCAGCACAAGAACATAAAATACGATTATTAAATAGGAGAAAAACCCATTGACTGCGTCTTAGAAGAGAGAACGGCCAGGAAGGGATGTGGTCCTGCAAAGAGCGACGTGACATTAGTGACATGTCATTAGAACCATCTAGCTCAGCCACCACTCCTACCCTGGCACCTGGTACAGTGGGGTCACATCTTCATACATCTTCTTACATCCCCTGTACTGCATCCCTCTTCCACTGCTAAACCAGAGAGCTCCAACTCCCTGCAAACTGAAGTATCTTGTCCTTCAAAGGGGCAATGAAAGCAGCCACAGCACAATGGGATTTAAAGTGCTGAGACCTAATTGAGTCCCTAAGAGCTGTGCAGCTCTGCATTCCTCCTGGTCACTGCAGGAGGAAGGCTGCAGCACAGCTTCCAACGAGGGATAAGAAGTGCTCCAACAAGCACTTCTTCACTTAGAGACGTAAACAAGGAGGTGGAAGGTTGGGCCGTGTGCTGCAAGAACGCTTTGAGATTGCTACCTCCATCAGCTCATGAAAACTCACACAGATAGCATCTGTGTACTTGCTGAGGTGTCACGTATCAGTTCTTTCTCAGACATGAAGAGCAATACGAGATGCTTGAGATTAAGAGGCTGGAATGATCTCTCTGCACATCGCAGGCAGTGAAGGTAGAGTATGAGCAGAAATCGGGGCAAACCAGGCTGTGTGTGGGGAAGCTGAGCTGTTCTGCAGTGTCACGCAGCGCTCAGGGAAGGAAGGAGCCCCACTGGGAAATGCAAAGGAACCCCAGGGGATCCCAGCAGCACATTTGGGGTCAGACTTCCTTCTGCCTTTGGGGAACCCACAGAAGTTCCTGCTCACAGCAGCCGCCTTTCTGTGGCCGGGGCTGGGCCGGCTATGAGAAAACCTGGGTATCTCAGCCATCGTCTGCCTGGGAGATAAACTGTCTTATGTAATCTCCGTGCCACGTTTGTGTGCACTTCTTCAGCGGCACGGAGATAGATTACAAACTTTTACCCCTGCTGGGGACCGATTTTCAGTCTTTCTGGTGCTGTTCTGCAAGTCACCCACAGACAGCGAGCAACCACACAAAGCGTTTGCCTGTAAGACTTCTGGGACCCGCTGCTGCCCTTATTTCTAAGCGCAGTCTGAAGTGCCTTTGTAAGCAGGACAGCTGATGGTTACAGCACCGACGCGACCGCGAAAGCAGGGGACTGCTCTGCGCCTGGAAATGGAAAAGGAGAACCTCGCTTCCCAGCTGAGCTTTTAATTCAGGTTTGCATCAGGGCATGAAGACGAGAATCCCTTCAGCCGCTCGATGTTTACCCAGCAGCAGCTCGCAGAGCCGTTTATTTACACACCGCTTAGGAACCCGCAGAAGCGCGGAGCTGCGGGGCGGACGGAGCGCAGCGCCCCAAACGGAGCGTCCGGCGGCCGCGGCTGCACACAGCGACCGCTTCGTTACTGCGAGGAATTACGCGGCCGGCAAAGAAGATCGCACCGTCTGCTCCAAGCTGAGACGCGAAGCAGAGTCGATCCTCGGCAAGAAACGGGGGAACAGCCTCAAAAAGACAGAAGCGACCCAACCCAAACAAACCCTTCTGTAAGCGCAGCGCAACGAATAAACAGCCACCAGGACCCCCCCGTACTTACCGAGCCGTGCCGATCCGAGCCGCTTCGAGCCACCCGGCCCCGCTCCGCCGCCCTTATAGCGGGCGGACCCCCCGCCCCCCGCACGGGGAGGGACCGCCGGGAGCAGCCCTCGTTCCGCAGCTCCGCCACCCCGTTGTGCTGAGCTCCGCTATGGTGGGCAGAACTCCCCGCCCCGGGACAGGGGGAGATGCCCTGAACGCCGTCTGGGATCGACATCACCACCGAAAGGTGACTTTCTTCCCTCCCATCCCAAAGGACCTCTGGTATTAATGTCAAGGTCTAATATTAAGCTTGAGCTCCTCATGGGGAATGAAGTATTTAGCAGACGTTTTTCTTCAGAATTTGGGGTTCACTTCTATAGCCGCGGGCAGGAAAAAGCAGCTGAGCCCATGGGGTTCCATGTGCTGCTCCCTGCTTGCAGGACGTGCAACTCTCCACATCCTCCCGCTCCCGTGGGACCTCTGTGCCTGGCACGGGTGGCACCTGACCCCAGTGTGATGGGGGGTGGGAATAACGCCTGGGATTGGGACTCGTTGGGTTGCAGGCTGTCAGGCAGTGACGCCTGGCTCCAGGGCTTCCCAACCCTTTCCTTGGCTCATTAACAGCAAGGAAGGTCCCAGACCTGTCCCAGCTGGGTGCACACCTCTTAAACAGCATCAAAGAAACGCCACCATACTGGATGCTGCTACTGTCTGGGAATGAAGCACAAAAAAAATCAGCAATAACCTGGACACACAGCCCCACTGCCCTGCACACACCGGGCAGAGCCCAGCCCTGCAGCTGAGCTGTGCCAGCCCTTCCTTCCATCTTCCTGCTTACACCTCTTTCTCCCTGCACAGTTTGCAGCAGGTCTTTGGCTGCACAACCCCAGGCTGGTCTGCCCAGGGCTGCATCCCTCTGGGTGCTGAAGCCCCCCACCGCAGAGGTCCCGATCCACTGCCTGCTACCTCCCACAGCACAGAGCTGGTGCTGCAGCTCCTTTTTGCTGTGTGTGTTGGTGTTACTCCATTCTGCCATTCCTTCTGCTTTTTTTCCCCCCGTTCTGCCATTTCTTTTTACTATTCCTTCTGCTTTTTTAACTACAGTTTTGTTATTCCTTCTCCTTTCTATTTTTATTCTTTCCCCATTCTTTCTCCTTTTCTTCTCTTTTACCCCACACTTCCAATAATGAGGTTTCCAGTCCAAGGTCAGAGTAAGGTTGGGGGGGCAGGACTTACCTCCTCTCCTCCGAGCAGTGGGGCTTCAAAGCTGTCGTGGGCAGGTCTACAGGGCAGGTGTTAGGAGGATGAGGAGAAAAGGAGATAAATTGCAAGTTTGGTGGAACAGAAAGCGGAGGAGGATGAGGGAGTGGTAGGCAACAGGTTTTTGTTTCTAAAGACGACAAGAGGTGAGAAACCTCGGTGTCAAAAAGCACACGAGAGGAGAGATGGGGGAAAAAAGATGTGAGATCTTGCACAGTGGGGGTGAGGAAGGAAAGAGCTGTGGGGTGCTTTGGGAGAGGGACAGAAGCCAGGAGGCTGGCTGTGGGCTTTGGGGTGAGCCAGGGCGGCTCTCACCCAGCAGCTCATCGCCAACGTGACATTAAGCAGTTCCTCTGCTCTCCTCCAAAGTCTGCAGACTTTCTGGTCTGCTTTTGGAGGACAGCCAGCTCCACAAGGAGCCCAATGGCCCCACTCAGCCCTGACTGCCCCTGCCCCCAAGCTCTCCTTCCCAGCACTGTGACAAAGATGCTCAGCTCTCACTTACTTGAACATAAGCATCGCATCAATCCGGCGCACTGCTCTGCTTCTCTCTTTACAGATAGAATTTCAGGCAATTTTCCTAAAAGCCTAAAGGGTTTGCAGCCTGTGTGAAAAAGCTCTTCGGCTTCGGAAGCAGCTTTCCCTCTGCCTATTTAAGGAGAAATCAAGAAGACAGCATTAAATGATAAAGCAAAAACCATTTCTGCATGCTGCAGCTTCTTTCCTTTTCTGGACTCAGTAAATTTGGCTGCTTCTCATTGAAACCTCCTGCAAGGAGGGCAGCAAGCTCTGCTCTGCCTGAAGTTGATGGGGCAGGCTGTGCTGTGATGGAGGAGGATGGGCTGCTGCAGCATCACTCACCGCTGGATGCAGCTTCCAGAGAAAAGCATGACCTGAAAACTGGGTTCATCTCAGGCACACCTGCCCCTTTGGTGAGGGTGAAATAACGCTCCTGATGAGAGGAGCTGGAGGAGAGCAGGGAAAAGCAACCAAATGTTTTGGTGAGGGGAAATGTGCAGAGTGCTGGGACACTGACAGCAGAGCATGGAAAGAGACAAAGAAAAATCTCATCTAGGAATCAATTTCTGTGCCCTGGCAGCAGAGTCATTCCAAAACACCCAACTTCTGCTTTGCACCCACGCAGGAGCTGCAAAATTTTAATTAATTGTTCAGAGAATGAGGGTGGAGTGGTGACATAAAGCCAGCTGGGATGGCAGGATGGCATCAGCACTGCCTGCTTAGCAGCTGTTTGCAATAATGCATCTGCTCAGAGGTCCTCAGGGCCTTAAATACATCACCTCCAGCAACAACCACAGGGCAGAACTCAGAGAATCCATCATTCTTACCCTACGTATTCAGAGCATCCTGCGGCTGCTTCACACTCACTGATCTCCTTTCCTGAGGGGTACAATGGAAGGAAATGGGTTGGGGTGGCATCTCTAGAGCTGTGCCCCTGCCTGCCTTCTGCACATCGGGGGCTTGGGGCAGGGAGCAGAGATTGCAGGGGATCCCACCTGGGAGAGGCTGCAGGGACCCTCTAAGCATCTCCATCCCATCTCGTGCAGAAGGAAAGGATGGGGAGCTGGGGCCAGGACTCCAGACAAGCACCCAGAGACCAGGTGCTCCAAACAAGAACACTGCAGGAGAGTTTGTCAAAAGGAGGAAGTTTGAGACTCCTGTTGACATTATGGGATTGGTTTTACCAGGTGGCAAACGGCTTTGGAGTCCTGCACAAAAACGTCCCCATATCAGGAGGTGCTGCCCCCACAGAACCACCTGCTGCCTCCCCTCCCTGCTGTGCACACAGCAAGGGCACATCTTTGAGCTGCACCTCCATCAGCCCACAGGAATCACAATATGAGAAATAGGAGCAGCATTCAGTGCCTGGCTTAGATGCCCACTTACCTGGGCAGGCTCCCACCGACCCAGACTGCAAAGCCTACCTGGTTACTTTGCCCTTAGACAAAGCCATGCTTCGATTTTCCAGCTTTGTTCCCCGCTGAGACATTGCATTTCTTGTTTATTATATGCAAACTCAGAAGGACAGCAGTCACCCATTGCTGTTTGTTATCGTTCCTCTCACCTCCAGTACCACAGCAGCACACGGATCCTCTGATGTTTACTTCCCAGTGCAATCATCCCCATTCTGTGAGCTGTGTGCCTCTGAAAGATGGGAAAACCCACCCTCAGAAAACACAGCCATACACAGGAAAGCATCTCTCAGCTCTGGAGCTTCTGCTTTACCTTTTCTCTGGAAAATAGCCCCAGAAGCCTGGAGCAGTAAGCTGGGAATGCAGGCTGCTCTTCTCTTCTTGGAAAAGGGCATTGGATAAACATGGTTAAAAATCCATGGATTTTTGGCATTAAGGTTTGGGGATGGCTGCACATTTCTTCAGGTCAGAAAGGTGAATTTATGAGCATTGCCACATCTCAGTGCTGGTAACAGAGACACTCTGTGTGAAGCAAGAGCTGCGTTTATCAGGTGCTACTGCTGAGATACGTCCCATACTTGAAGATGGGCAGATAACCATCTGTGACACAATGCATGTCAGGCCTGTGGCCACAGCGTAGCAAAGGTTGTGCTCCTCCTCACATCTCAGGACAGCCCTGCAACAGCCCACCAGCTGGCTCTGGCTGCCTCTCATCAGAGGCTTTTCTTAGGAAATACCCATCAGAAACCCAAAATTCTGCCTTTCAGAAGAGCAGCCCTTAAAATACAGCTCTCCTTGGAGCAGCACCGGCTGCAATGGGTCTGCTTCAGGTGGCTTATTGCCACACAGCCTTTAAAAGGCCATTATTTTCTCCCCCAGCTCTCCCCCCTAGAGGAGTGGGGTCCCACAGAAAAGCCACATGCAAAGCCAACCAGGGGGAGCACCCCCAGCCCAGGGCCCATTGCTGTGCACCAGTGCTACTCTGCCCTGCTGCAGGTGCCAGCAAGGAGAGCAGTGCTCACTCTGGATGTGGATTCCATCAACACCAAATCGAGTTATGCACTGCTCTTCAATGGAAGCACAGCAACAGATGAACACAGAGCTCCTTCCCACAGGCAGTGTGTGTGTGTGTGGGGGGGGGAGGTAGGGGGTTCACGATGAGATTTAAGTGAACAAACTTGAGTCATGAGAAAGACGAGAACAGATAAACAGATATGCAAAGTAATCCGGTTGAAGTCAGCGGGGGAAATGCTATTAAAAACCTCCCATCCTTTGAGCACTCAGCTGCTCAGAATTTTCTCTTGTTTAAAAGGAAAAACTTAAAGAGGAAAGCCCCAGATAGACAGTGACACAGTTCCGGAGGCTGTTGGCTTGGATCTGAGGTTCAGATAAGGGACCAGCATCGCAGAAATCAATTGGAAATGCTCTTGCAGCAGCTGTTACCCACTTACAGCAATCCCACATTCGGCTGCTAGAGCACACATTTAATCGTCGATCATGGAGGATACGGCGAGGAACTTTTCTGACAGAGAAGCTTGGCCCTTTGTAGTCACATCCTTATTTCATGGGCCCCACCAGTGGGCAACAACTCACTGCATCACACCCTGCTCTCAGTTGCTGCCCCAGTGCTTGCCACACACCGCCCCATGCTCTCCCCATGGCCATAGCCCAGCAATGCTCTATTGCAGCTCATCCCTGCTTGAACACCGCCCGTCTCTCCCTGCCTTGGAAGCCAGGAGATCACAGAATCACAGGATTGGAGGGGTTGGAAGGGAGCTCCAGAGCTCATCGAGTCCAACCCCCTGCCCCTCACTGTAAAGAAGTTCTGCCACCACAGGGACAAATATCACCCCTGGGTGCACCATGAGTCCCCAGCGGGGCACCAACCCTACTTTAACACAGCAAATCACAAAGCGGTGCTGTTTCACGATGAACAACTTCTTGTCAGACCGCTGTTGCAATATCTTTCCAAGAACAAACCGTGGGTTTATTTCTTTTTCCTTATTCTCCATTAAGGACCTTCTGCAATACCCAGGGTTTTGC